GAAGTCTTCTTTCCACATGTTGATAGCCTCGTCAACACCAGCAGAGTCTTCACCAGAGCTCTTCTCTCGCATGGTCTTGATGTAATCAGCCATGCGTCGATTATCAGCTTCCTTCTGAAGAGCCTCCTGTTGCCACTGGTCCACTGTAATCTCCGTAGACTCTAGGCGCTCCCGCAAGAACTCGATCTCTTCCTCCAGTTCGGCTTGCCTAGATGACTGGACACTTCGTCCGTCTTCTGAGCCACTGCCAACATCTCTAGCGGTGGCGTGTCCCTCTTCCTGAGCCTTGAGCCTTCGCTCCAGATCACGAATCTTCTTGCGCATCGACTGGCTTTCCTTCTTCTCCGTCGCGAGATCAGTTTGCAGTTGGACGTTCTTCGAGATCATCTCCTTGACTCCCTCATCAGACCGGTTCTGCAGCGCTTGGTCGAGGAAATGGATTTTGAGCTTAAGATCAAAGTTCTCTTTACTGAGCTTGTCGATTTTGCTATTCTGCTCCTTTAGTGTGAGATTGTGTTTACTGCGAGTGAAGGGAGTAGCCATGTGTCGTTTGTCTGGCGATCGCGAGTGCTTAGCCCGGAAGTCGCGCGCAATAGAGTCTGGTACTTGTATGTCCTGGATATGTCTCGCAATAACGGTGTCGGTAGGGGCGGGCTGCACACTGGGAGCGCGTGGTGTTTCTGGTGGAGTCGCACTGTTAGGCACCTCCTCGTCCAGACGACCTAGACTATTGTCCGGCTGAAGAAAAGCGGACAGTGAGTTCGTGCTAATACTCCGTCCCTTCTCCCAGGGGTTGGTATCGCTGTATCCTGACATAGACGAGGCGATGCTTCCCAAGCTTGGCAGTCTTGACAGTCCTAGGCTCATCCCCCGTGGTCCGCTCGAACGAGGAATAGCACCACCAGTCTGCAAAGCATAGTCTGCGCCGAGACTCGCACTGCTTCCGCCATCTCCAGACGCGTCAGAGCGGTTGGTGAAGGACGATACGGATGACCGCTGGCTTGAACCTCGGTGCTGTAGGTAGCTGGGTCGCTTGCTGATCTTCTGCGCGCTCGCGGGAACCAGTGGTGGAGGCATGGCTGAACTATCCACGCTAGAGTCGTTCTCGTTCGTAAGAGAAGAACCTTCTTCAATCTGTGAGAAATCGGGAGCTTTCACTGTCGAGGCACTGGATGTCGGCCGTCGCACGTCCACCTCTTTTGGCTGAGCAGCTGCTGCAGCTTGGTCCGCTTGACGCGCGCCTTCTCCTCCAGCTGCTTGTTCTGTAGACCTGCCTGCCGAGGCGCGTGATTGGCTTCGATGCGCGGCTTCTGCAGCGGGCGAGGAAGGTGCGACCTCTGATGTTGCGGTGCTCGCATCCATTGAGTCGTCTTCTCCGAAGTCCAGACGTCTGGCGGCAGGCGTCTTATAAGCGTCGGCAGGCGTCGGAGCCTCGGAAAAGGAGGAGGAGTTGCTGTGGTGGCTGTTCCTGGCTTGCGACTTGGTCGGTGTGTTCCCACTACGCACTTCGAGCTTCTTTGGCTTCTTCTTTGGCTTTGTCAGCTCCTCCAGATTGTCCATGACTCTTTGCATATCCGCATCGTCGTCCATGGGTCGAGCCGATTGCTGGGAATTTCCTGGCGAGCCCCCGAACAGGTAGGTATCGTCTACGCCGGACTGCCCTTGGGGTGCTTCGACGTGGACAGGCGCCTCGGGAATAAAGCTCGATTCGATGTCCATCAATTGGCGCTGCATTTCGCGATCCTCGAAGACGCTTTCGCCATGGTGCGCGTCTTCTTCCTCGATGACATGGTGTATGATGCTGTCGTCTTCTTCGGTCGGTAGCGGCGGCAGGTCCGAGTCGGGCTGGTCGAAAGCCCTGACGTCGTCGGCGTCTGATATATCGTGCGCCATGTGGTTTTCGTGTGCGGGTGCCAGCGTGGGGGTGGAGGGTGTGGAGTCGGCTTCGTCTGTTTGCGAGGCCTCAGCACTCCGGGCAGGAGCGTTGTCTGCGGTAGCCATGGGGGTGGGTGCGCGCGCAATAAGCGTGGAAGTCGCGTGCAATGGTGTTTTTCCGAGGCCTGCTCACCAGCATAGTGCGACTGCCCAGGCTGCAGTGTCGTGAAAGTTGACGACAATTGCGGTGATTCCCTGCCCTCGCCTGAGTGACAACAGAGCGCGCGTTGTTTGCGCTAGTACGATTTCGTCAGCTTGGGCTACCGTGCGGCCGGTCCCTGCCCAGGTTCTTAGGGCCAACCGGATCCCCTGCCGGGCTGAAGTGACGATACCTTTACAACTTCACCCGTCTGATGCATGTGATAAACACGTAAAGCATCAAAACTCAAGTGACACTACTAACATGTGGTAGGAAAAAATTCAGAGTGCTGTCTCGTCTGAGACTAAGGGATAACGAGGCTCAAGAACACACGACACCGCGGAGGACAAGTATCATCCATGATCATTCAGGTCTAAATTGACATTGCTAATTTCATATATACTAGAATCGAACTTCATCGACGACACTCCCGCTAAGCAAGATCCAAAGTGATAGAGTTAGGATCGGGCTTGCTTCCCTTCTTCGACACACCACCCTGCGCAAACGCCACCATCTCCGCCGCATCATCAGCAGCAAAGAAAGCGGCAGTAGCAAATGGCGCACCAAACAGACAATCACCAGTGGAGAACGCAAGCGAGCAGATACCTGTAGACGGGTTGACACCCGAGCGAGCATAAGTGCGCAGCGGAATCTTGACGGTGACCTTCTTGCCCTCGACACCAGTGAACTCTAGATCAATAGTAGTGTCCTTGGGGATAGATTCGCATGTACCGTTCCAGCCAATGACACCATACTCGTCCACAACGAGACCAGCGGCAGCAGCGAACTGGTCATTTTGACTGTAGCTGACGGGTAGGTAATCGAGTGTGGTGCCAGAGTCGACGAGGCAGGTGGGAGAGATGATGTCCGAGTTGTTGAACGCTGTTCCATTGACTGAGACGACAGGCGGGTTGACGTAGTAGCCAAGTGTCACACCACCGAACGGAGCCTCAACCATGGGGACCTTGACGAGGTCGCCCGTGTATTTGGAGTGGTCGACGCCACCGAAGACGACGTGGCCGGTGAACGTATCTTCGATTCCTTCAGGCGCCTCGTCGAACCACAGACTCTGTACGGGCGCGGAGATGGCGCCAGCCTCGAGTAGGTTTTGGCGCACGTGCGGGCCCGTCGTGTTCCAGGTCGGCTTGCGGTAGTATGGGGAGATACCCAAGATGCCGTCGTCAAACGAAGACGTCGGAGTACATTTTCCGCTGCTGTCGCCGAGGCGCGATGTCATGTAGCTTGAAATCGCGACTTCCGTGTCCACGGTCGACGAAAGGCCCGCATCAGAAACGAATTGGAAGGTATCGTTCACCGCCACATCTCCAGTGATGAACTTACTGTTTCCCCCATACGAGTAGGAGGATCGGAAGGGTACTGGTTTAGACGCCGACGGGCTGTTTGGGTAGTCGTAAAAAGGCTGCACCGTCTCGTTGCAAGGGCCTGCACAGCCGAGACGAGTGCATCCCCAGTTTCTGATGCTGTCGGGGCCGAACACCCAGAAGTTCTCGGAACCTTGGTCGACGACGATTTCGATGGTGCGGTTGGTCGAGGGATCGACGAGCTCCGTTGAGATCTTCTGGGCGCCGCCGTGCGCGAAGTTCAGTGGTATGTTGACCGTAGGCACAGCACCCAGGACACTGCTGGCGAGCGCGGAGACTGTGAGGGCGTATCGAACCATTTTGGCGAGCAGAGAGAAGAACAGCGTCAGTGAGGCCGGTGACGATTGATCTGACTTTAGAGATAGCGAAGAGGTCTTAAGTCAAGCTTGATGCCAGACTAATTTGGCCGTATCCGTCGCTTCATGCCGACTGATCCCGCCAAATACGACGGCTAGCCGCAAAAAAATCTTATCGCTTCATGCCTTCGAATGTCCCATACAGGGAGCGGAGTGGATTGTCTTGCGGTGAGGTCCAGGAAAGGGGCGCACCGACAGTTTTCGGTCCGCGCTGCTTGCTGTCAGCGATTCGCATGACTTGGATACGATGCTACAAGGGCCATCCTGCCCTCTTGTCCAAGCGCAGAAGGACAGAGAAGGTCGTAATCGACAGTAAAGCTGGTGCAAGAGTGCTAATATTGGAACATGCGCGATGTTACCTAGGTAGTTTACTCGTCCAGTGGAGTCGCGGCAGCTACCCCGGCGTGCAGGTACGGGAATTTGCTAGTGTCAAACAGCGACCCACGTTCGCGTTCGCTCTGCCTAGGTACGAAGTACGCTACACCTGGGCAGGTACACAGCCAACCTTCCTCTAACCTTCCGCATTGTTGTCTTCGCACCTTGGACCTCGTCGGTATACATTCTATCGCGTTTGCAGCTCCAGTTGTCTAAAAATACGACCAGAGCTAGGCAAATACCTCTACATCCCATCTGGCACCCGCAATACCAGCGAGACCGTCCGGGTGCTCGGAACCTCGATATACGAGTATTAACCGCACCACCCATGTCGCAGCAATATCGCCCGCTCTTGGTCCTTCGCGATGCTTGTTGTCAATGCTTAACATTATCCCTGCTGGGATGGTAGAAAATTGCGATATGTCATACTAGGAAGGTCCTCAGATAGCACCGTATTGGAGGTGTTGACGGTCGAGGGTCCACGTTCGCTATGATTCATTGCATCATGCTGTCTTTGCAATTTTCATCTCCTCTCGCGCGCTCATAAGTCTGCGATGGTCTGCTGAATTGCTCTCGTATATACCCGAAACATCAACTCTTTCTCTTTCATTTCAATTCATCGTCGGCTGCATCATGAGATTGGGCTCAACTCTTGTCTCGAGCGCGACCTTTCTGGGCGCCTTTGCTCGGTCGGCGGCAAAAGACAATGTTGCACATGAGAGTGTTGTAGAGCTTCCAGACGGCTGGATGTCTGTCGGTGAAGCCGATGGTTCTCTACCGCTAACGCTGTCAGTCGCTCTAAAGCAGCCTCGCATGTCGGAGCTGGAAGCACATCTCCAAAAACTAAGCGATCCATCGCATACAAAGTATGGGGCACATTTATCTCAGGACGAAATAAGCAACTTTCAGCAGCCAGACCAAGACGGTCTTGTCGCTGTGCGTTCGTGGCTCAATGCCAATAGAGTACCATTCTCAGTTGAAGGGTCGTGGCTACGAATCAACACTACCGTTGACACAGCGAGCCAACTCATCGACGCTGATTTTGGTCGCTACCAATACAACGATGATAGTCCTGTTCTACGCGCGACAAAGTACAGCCTCCCCAGTGCGGTAGCAGACTACGTTGACTTTGTCTACCCCGTCACCCAATTCATCCGCAAGCCTTCCAAGAAAGCACTGCCATCATTAGAATCACACTCCGAGAAAAGACAGGATTCATGTACGTAACAACTGCGCTACCCTCACCCAACAAACCGGGCAACCCCAACTGACCATTCCTCCTAGCATCGCAAACCTGCCCCGGTGGAGACACAACACCCGACTGCATCATGTCCATGTACAACATCAACTACCAGATCCCCGACTCCGACTCCCCCGTGACTTTGGGCATCGTCGGCTTTCTGGAAGAATACCCTAACGAGCCCCTTCTACACTCCTTCCTGGAAAACTTCAGTCCCTACCGCAACACCACCGGCTACAACCCTCTGTACAACTTCACCGTCGCCTCGATCCAGAACGGCAACGACACCAAGCTCGGCTATGGCGGGGAAGCCCAACTCGACATCCAATACAGCATGCCCTTCGTCCAGCCCATGAACGTAACCTACTTCTCCACGGGCGGCAGAGGCCCGTATCTCGACGAAAACGGCACCGAAGTGCCTCTCGATACCAGCCTCAACGAGCCATGGATCGAGTTCCTGGAAGCACTTCTCGAACGCGACGAACTACCTACTGTGCTCTCGATCTCCTACACCGACGACGAAGCATGGATCCCACGCGCCTACGCCAAGCGCGCATGCGACCTCTTCATGCAGCTCGGAGCGCGGGGTACATCCGTCCTCGTAGCCAGCGGCGACGGCGGCTCTGCAGGCACCGGATCTTCAGAGTGTAAGAACAACAAGTTCCGCCCTACGTTCCCCGTCGACTGTCCGTACGTCACGAGTGTCGGCGCAACGGCTGCCTACTCTCCGCTTAGTGCAGAGTGGTTCAGTGCAGGCGGGTTCAGCGACTACTTTGACCGCCCTGCGTGGCAGGATGCGGACGCGAAGAAGTACATCGCGCAACTAAACGGGTCGCATGATGGATGGTATGCGCCTAGTGGACGTGGTATACCCGATCTCTCGGCTATTGGAACGCGATTCGTGATGGACGAGAGTGGTATCAAGCAGAAAGGGACGAGTGCGAGTACGCCTGTGATTGCGGCTATGATTGCGCTTGCAAATGACAAGAGGATGCGAGGTGGGAAGCCGGCGCTGGGCTTCTTGAACCCCTTGCTTTACTCGGATGAGCTGCGGCATGTGTTTGTGGATGTGACTGAGGGTCAGTCGGGTAGTTGTATTGTTAACCGCACTGCGGAGCCTGGGTGGGAGACGGCTGTGGGATGGGATGCAGCGACTGGGCTGGGCACATTAGATTTTGCCAAGTTTGTTGAGGCTGTTGCTTAGATATTAGACATACAAAAACAATTGCACAAGCCAACTAGTTCGGGACAGCAACAGTGACAGTATTGATTGGGACTTGGACCCGTGCTCTTATTGACTGATTGAGTACTATCCTTCCCATGCCAGACAGTACTGATGCTATGATGAACTCGTGCTAAACGCTAATAACAATCCTCATTGTGACGGCTTCTCGTCAAATCCAATCCGCTTCATATGTACGCTCAGTAGTATGTAGACCGATTCGTGGAGGTAGTGAAGATATCGATCGCTCTGACCGAGTATGCTTTTTAGTATAGGAACGCTGTATGACCAAATGCCGTGCTAGTTCAAGCGGTTGTGCGCCTTTCTCAGGCCGCAGCCGCTTCCTTTGCACGCTTCTTCTCTTTCCTTGCTTTCTTTTCCTCTTTCCTCTTGATCTCCTCAGGATCCCGTTGCTTTTTGGTCTTCTTCGCCGGCACTTCAGGTGCATCAACACCATTGACATCAGCGTGTTTCCTCTTCGGCTTTTTGGAGGGTAAATTAAGTCCGTTCGGCATCGCAAGCCCAGCAATCGCCTGTGGTACCTCAGTCTCGTCGTCGGAATCACCGATAGTCCCAGCGTCGTTACCACTGAAGCCGGTGGGAAGGAAGCGCATCTTCAGTCCTGTGACTTGTGGTCGTGGTGCACGAATGGTCGATCGCGTTATGGAGGCGGCCGCTTCTGAGCCCGTGTTTTGGTCTGCTTGCTTTGTGGTAAGGTGGGGAAGTCGTACAACCGATCGTAGGCGTAAAGTCTGAGATATCCGCGTAGGGGCTAGGCAGGTCAGTATAGTCGGTAGAGGCAGTAGTTGATGAACGAACCTGGTTTCATGCCATTGTTCCGTGGTAATAGAACCTCCCGGGTGCCCTCATCACTCTCCGTCTGAGAGAAACCGTAGTCTGTACCCTTGTAGCTCAGTACGGCATCCCCTTTCATAGCTTTATCCATGGCGAGCTCGCTCAAGTCCTTCAGCGAGACACCTGCGGGAGCAGTGATGTGCCATATCTGCTTTCCTTCTAGATTATCGAACAAGCCCGTCGACTTGGAGATAGTCCTGTCGTTGACTGGAACTGGAGCAAATCCTTTGGGGGGTGCGTAAGCCTGGGTCGGTCGGAAATCAACGGCATGCGATTGTGGTTGCACTGGCGGTGCCGGCTGTGTTTGGGTCGACTTGCGGGTCGGTTGCGGGGCGTTGCCTGTGTCCGAGTCGTCGCTAGAGCTGTCTGCGCTGCTGGTGTCGTCGCTGTCGCTCGAAGCTTTCTTGTTCTGCGTGTTACCTGGGAGCTTCGTCTGTATGTCCCTAGTCGGCGCGTCGTCGCCGCTTATCTCTGAGCTTGACAATTCTTCGGCGTCCTCCTGTGTCGCGATTTGCTTGGGCGCAGGCTTCTTAGGCGTAACCTTCGACTTCGAGGCTGATTTGGGGGCAGGTACGTCTTTCTTGCTAGGCTTGGACTTCGCTTTGGGCACGCCGTTCACGTGAATGCCAATGGTAGCTTTCGGCTTCTCGGGCTTCTTGGACTGCGCGGCGGTCTCACTGGGAGAATCATCGTCGCTGTCGACGAATTCCTGGCTTAATTGCGCTTTCGACGGGGTGTTCTGAGGTTTTGATTTCGGCTTGGAGCCCGGAAGCGGCACCTTGGTTTTCTGTATGGCACTCATAGTGTGGGTGGAGCCATGCTCTTTGCGACCAGAGAGTCGAGGTTCGTAAGGAACTTTTTTGCGCCGCGAACTGTCGCGCTCGGGCACTGGGCGGAGAAGAGCCGCATCGCGACTAGTCCCGATTAGGACTTGGCGCGCCAAAAATCATTGGTTTGATCTTTGAAATGATGGGCGCATGCAGAACACCAATGTCAACATCCAAAGTCAGTATGTCAGGGAAACGGAAGAGAGGGGAAGATACGGCTGCTGTTGGTACTCCCAGCGGAAAGCCACTCACTGCGATTGCGGCTGCTCGACTAAAGGCGGAAGCTGCCGCCCAAGTTGTGAATACACCTCAAGTTGCGCTGGAGCAGATTCCTGTGCCAACGAGCCCGTTGCTTGATGCTGCAAAATCCGAGCACGAAGGTTCAGATGAAGAGGAGACCCATGCGCCCGTACATCGGAATGTCAAGCTCTGCAACTGGCGCAACGAACCCCAAAACATCCTCTCAGATACCGACACCGAACTTACCATCAACCTGAACAAACACGCGACTATAACACTGATAGGCACTTTTGATTTGACAGTTCTACGAGGCGCCGTCAACATCAATGGTGCCAACATTGGAACAGTCAGTCGTGATGGGCAGAAAAACCAGGTTCATCGAGCGTGCGTGCCGGCCACGCACCCCATGTCTAAGATTCGGGGACTAGATGGTACGAATCACATCAGGTTCAAGACTTGCAAGATTTCTGCCCCGCTCGCAAACGTCAGTCCACTCTTTGACGGTATCTGGAGCGATTCAACCCATCGTTCGTTCCGAGTTGTAAGTGCCACATCCTTATACACCTATCCAGCGTTGATCGCGACGGTACATGCGTGAGAAAGGTTGAGATCTCGACACATAACGGCCATCTAACTTCTCTGTTAGGTAACCAACTCAGACGCGGATACACTTTCCCGGCCATTACGTCCTGAAGTGACACCCGAAGACTGGCTCCGCGCAATCGAGGACTGTGCTAGCAATCCATCTATCACCGTAGTGACTGGATCACCTAGCTCAGGCAAATCAACATTCGCTCGGCGGCTCGTGAATCGCTCCCTTACAGGTCTAGGCAAGACCGCTCCCTCTGTGCCAGCTGTATGCCAGATGGATCTCGACCCGCAAAAACAAGAGCATGTCCCCGCAGGTCAAGTCTCTCTTACCATTGTGAGAGATCTGAACCTGGGCCCAAGTTTCACACACCCTTCTGTTGTACCAGGACCAAAAGAAGCGATGAGGAACGAGGTTATCCGCGCACATCCAATTCCGGCGAATTTCGCCAACTATGCAGACTACTATCAGTCTTGCGTTGAGGATCTCTTCCTGGCATACAGAAACCTTTCCTCGCGGGATTCCTCTCTACCGCTAGTTGTCGACATACCCGACTTCCTCTACTCTTCACATTTCGACCTCCTAACAAAGCTGCTAGCGAGAATTAAACCACACAATGTCGTACATCTCGGGGATACGCGGGCCATCGACACCGAAACAGCGGCAAAGCTGCATTTGCTTCAGACATCAACGTCGCAATTTCACGGCACATTCCATGAGATTACCGCGCAACAGGCCCAGACGATACCTGTAAGGTCGGACAATGAGTTAAGAGCTATGCAGATGCAATCCTACTTCCATCTCAAATCGAGCAGTACAAGCTCAAGCCAGGCCCAAGTACTCAGCTGGACGCCAGAGACGCTTTCAAGTCTAGTACCATGGGAATTCTGCTACGAAGAAACACCCGAGCGAGCGCAGGATCTAGTGGCTTTCGCAATGTACTCTGAGCCAGTCGAGCCATCTTCAATGCTACATGCACTGAATGGATCTGTCGTGCACATTATCCAATCCACGTCTGCTGCAGTCCCAGGCTCGCTTCCACGGACCCAGAAATTTGGCATCCCATATCTCCCCGAGTCTGCGCGCACGGGAATGGTAGAGCCGTTGGATCCTCGAACGACAAGACTGGTCTGCACGGCGATGATTCGGGGTTTCAATCCGGCAAAGAAGATTGTAGAGGTGCTGGTACCAAAGACGCACGAGTCGCTGCTATACAATCTGTCACCCGAGAGGACTATCTTTGTAGGCGGATGCTGCGATGTGCCGGAGTGGGCCTACTTGGAGGACGCATATGCGCAGGAAGAAGCGAAGAAAGCGACGACAGGTCTTGGTAGCCTACCCGTTTGGGTCGAGACTGATGACCTTGTAGATGGTATGGGATACCTCAGCACTGTACGGAGGGTGAGGAAGTTCCAGACGTGACCTCTCGTTGGAGATATCGTTCATTAGCGCTCAAGACGAAATACAGTCATGAGGTTGGTGCTTCGAGACCTTCACAGCAGCCTCTCATTGAACGAAAAAAAAATTGGAGGTTTTGGCTTCTTGTTGCGAACTACTGTTGAGTCGCACTGTAGCTGTAATATGTACACGTGATACCATGCTTGTTCCAATGTCCCCGACTACAAAATCATCTTCGGTGGAGCTGTGTGTCGTCAGCAGATGGAGTGAAAATGTTTGATGGTAAACTCACGATCGATGATTGGGCAAGGCAGGTTGCGCTCGTACTTTGATCCTACAACACCCGTCAGTACATTCATATCCGCGGCCGACGCGGAAATGTATCCGGGCGTTAGCAACGAACCTCCAGGAGCCGTGGGTGGGCGGTAAGGGTCTGGGTGCTTCCACTTCTCGAGCAGGTTTTCCGTCTCCTTGATCAGTTCCTATGCGACTCATCAGCAGAGTCCTCTGTGCAGCCGTAATATATGTGGAGTGTCGATGTAATCGCGGTGATGGAATAGGGAGACGCACCCTCATCTGTCGCGGCTCGGTAACATTGCGCTTGGCCTCGAAGAGTTCGCGGATGTACAGGGCCTGTCCGCGCCAGAGGTATCGGTGGACGCTCCAGTCGAGGGCGAGCTTGAGGGACCGCCTGTAGAGGCGTCTGCGGCTGGGTTAGTTTCTGCGCGTAAAGGGCGACACCTGCGGGGGTTTGGCGTACAGGACGTGTATCTTAGAGCTCATGGCGGCGATGGCCCTTCCAGTGGGAGTTGTTGCGGAAGGGAGAAACGTGGGTCGTGGCCGCAATGCCTCGGTGTCGTCGCAGATGGCTTGGTGAGGGCAGCGTGAGGTTGCGGGCTTGGCATTTGTGCCTGTGACGGAGGGTGGCTTCCGAGACGTCAGAAGTGTGGTGCCGTGTCTGCTTCAGTACCATACAACTGCCGCAAGGGGACTCATACACAAACCTTCGTTCGCTCGAAGTCGCCCATCGCTCTCACTCGCATCTTAATTTCCTTTTTCCCACTCTTCGCCTG